CTGCCTATTCACTGATCCTTCCACCCCTGCCCCCCCCCTGTTCTGAAGTACAACCCCAATTTCGTAAAAGTTGAGACACTGCAAAATCTACATAAAAATAGTGTTTTGCAAATCTCATAAACCCATATATTGCACAGCCATCCAGAGTAGTGTGATTACAGTGAAGCACACAGACACCGCCCCCTAGTAAAACACTCCTAGCACACAGTTAACCCTGTGATCGCCCCTCGTGTTAACCCCTTCCTTTTTTTTTCTTTTTTTTTTTTTGCACTGATCACTGCATTGGTGTTACTGGGGATGTCAGTGACACCATGTCATTCCCCCCTCCCCCCAGTGTCAATGTCCACCGCAATACGTCACTGATTGCCGCCATTACTAGTTAAAATTAAAAAGAAAAAAATCCCAGTAAATATACCACAATTTGTAAACGCTATAACTTTCACATAAACCAATTCATTTACACGTATTGGGATTTTCTTTTCTTCTAGCAAAGTCATGTCGCAGAATACATTTTGGCCTAAATTTTGACACAATTTAGTGTTTTTTATATATTTTTATTTTTTTAAGTTTTTTATTTTTTTTACTGGATATGTTTAATAGCAAAAAGTCAAAAATATATTTTTTTTTCTCAAAATTGTTGGGTTTTTTTTTTTTGTTTTTTTTTTTTATATATCGAAAAAAAAAAAAAAACTCTATAGATTTTACACAACTTCCCAACTTTTTTGGAATTGGAGTTGTATTTGAAGGGAGGCCAGGACCTGTAGAATAAAATGATGTAAACAATTTTGAAGGTCTTGTGATAGTTATGCAAATTGTTATAAAAAATTTAGATTTTCTGTAAAAATGCACTAAAAACATGATTATTGCTCACAAACAAAATAACTTAAAAATTCATACTTAATGTAAAAGTTAAAACTGCATGGAGTTAGTAATAAAAACGTGTAAATTCTAAATTGTGCAATTTTGCTCAACAATGAGATGCAAAGGCATGCAATTTGAGCTACAGATGTGGAGGTTTGCTTCACACTGGTATTGTGGTAATGCCCAGTCTGCAGTGCTGTGTGTGCGCTGCTTTGGTGTGTGCTGCGTTACAATGTGTGGCAATACATTGTTGCACATAGAATTGAATGAATGTAATTCGAAAAATGAAAAATCCCCCACAAAATTAGGTGTTGCAATGCTGCACTTGTACACAAAGCGCACACATGTTATGTGCACCGTAATGCATGCCAACTGTAAATGGACCCTTAGTGTGTTTGTGCACTGCATGCATTACCGCTATATTTTTAGCGCATGTGTATGTTGTGTGGCTGCTGGGAGATCTGAGCAGTGGGTAGGGAGGTTCAGTTCCACAATATTCCTTAGGTTGATAACAGCAGAAGAGTTTAAGGTTTAGTTCACACTTTGTGGTTTCTTGTATTCCAGCACACCTCTCTAACCTAAGGAAACCACAACACACAAGTAATGTCCCCTTTTTTCATTCACAATGCTGCATTTTCACACCACATGCATGAAGACCATTTTAACCATTTTGCTTTTGCTGAATGTACACAATTTTGGCATAGAAACCCAGAATATAAAAGAAAACATATAGTGCTTGACAGCGTAGTCAATGTGCATATAGTGCTTGATGGAGTACTTATGTTCTTGGCCCAAATTCAGAGGAATTGGATTTTTTTTTTCCTTTTTTCTCCTGTCATATGATATTATGGAACAATTAACATTGATGCAAGTCACATGACTATGCTGCTGGTTTCTGTTGGTAGCCGTGCAAATTTCCTTATGAGAACAGAGTTGAGTGCTCAGTGTTGCTGCAAATGGCAATCAATTTGTCAGTGCTTTTGCTAAACTCGCTCTTATCCCAGATTAGAGACTTGTTAAAATGTTTTCCCTGATCCTCTGTGCAGGATTTGATTTGAACTGTCAGCCTTTTAGGTTCTTTTCCCGTGGGAGAGAGCTAAGTCATGTGATCCAATTTAATAGCATACACTGCAATCTCTTGTTTGAAGCATGATATGTTGGAAAGTTTGAACTTTTCTTAAAGGGTTAGTTGAAATTTACAGAAATAATGAAAAAGTGAACAAACACCCCTACACTCTCCCCCACCCTCAGACCCCGCTGTACTTGACTCTGTGGGTGATGAGCTGTCAGTACCCACATAGCCAGTTTAGCAGTCCAGAGATTTGATATCTCTGTTGTTCTCCCTTTCTGCAGTACTTCCAGGTTTGAATAGAGCAATGCTCTGTTCTGGCACTTACCAATCAGAAATGCTCTGATCTGTCCCAAAAGCGCTGCAGAAAGATAGGAGAACAGGGATTTCAAATATCTGCACCGCTACACCACCTGCGTGGACACAGGACAGCTAATCACCCACAAAGGTTAGTTCAGTGGTGACTGGAGGTTGTAGGGTGTTCACTTTTTCACCTTTTCTGAAAACGAACTTCCCCTATTTGCTAATTTTTTATTTGTTAAATATACCATTAAAGTAAAACTAAAGTCATTTTTTTCCTATTTTAGGTAAAGGGAGGGTTATATAGTCTGTCAGTCCCCCCCATCGGTGACCCGTTTGGTAGATTTTCCTTCACTTTCTGTCCAATAGTCAAAACAGGAAGTGAGAGGAATTTCCTTTATAATGAAGGAATTCCTGGTCGTCACCAGGGTCACCAAATATAGTGTCTCCATATGATTTCCCATGCATCCCATTACTGACTTGGGGGCAACCCCCTTTTTTTTTTTTTTCTTTTTTTACCCTTTCAGTAACAGAAAACATGACAAATAGGGAGGGTGAACCTCCCTATTGGGGGCACAGCCAGCAGTAAAACCTGACTAATATCTCTTCACTCTATCAAAGACTAAACAAAAACTTTTGCCTTTAGTTGCACTTTAAAAGTGTTTTTGTTACATCTGTTTATTAATTGCATAAAATACTCCTGCAAAGAATCCAGTGGGCACACACACACACACACCATTATGCCTTGGCTCTTTGTGAACTACAGGAACCCCCCCTTATATGGAGAAGCGAGGGGGAGGTTTTCAGATGTCGTAAACCACTTTATCTATACAGCTGCATTTTCATCCCAGGAAAAGTACAGTTAATAGTGTCACCCTAGGACAGTAAGTGTTACTGGCATGACCACCAGGTGAAAATTAAAGAAAAATGCAAAACCCCAAAAATTTTAGCTAATGCAGGCACCATGTCCATGGATTGGTAAAGTGCAATATATATATATATATATATATATATATATATATATATATATATATATATATATATATATATATATCGTTTTTGTTCTTGGGTTAGATATGCTTTAGAAAATTTCACACCTAAACTGCATTGGTTGAAAGTTGAATTAGGTTAAGTTGATGGTTATGAAAGAAATTGTATTTATTCTTGTACACAGCTCATAGTGCTCTTTGTTTCTGTTACAAGAATGACCTTTGTAAAGTTAATTTTGACAGGCTTTACTTTAACCTGATAGCTCCCCCACCCTTGTCACTACTCCCCCCACCCCCCAGTAAAAATAAAAAAACAAAACAAAATAAAAAAAACCTAACCTAAATGCCCAAAACATTTTGCCTAAATCTGTGGTCATTTGGTACTTCTGGTCAAATGTCTTCACTGTAGAAGAGCAGGGTCCTTCATTGAGAATCACAAACACTTCCAATTGAATGTCTAATGGTGGTATCCTTTTAGGTTCCAGAAGACAGCAGCAGTATGAATATATCAAAGGCAGCTGGTTGGAATGGGCTTAGACTGCAGTCTTCATACAGACTCTAAAATGTATAGCTACAAAGGCAAAAGCCATAAAAAATGTGAGATTCGTAACAATGTGATATAATAAAGCATAACCATTGATGTCAGAATTTTTTTTTTTTTAATATCAATAAAGAGAATTCATGGCTAGTTAGGTTTAATGGCTCTTCCAAATGAAGCATCAGTATGGACTGGCAGTCTCTGGCACTGTGCACCAAGATGGAGATCCATGAACCAGCGAGGCATCTCAATCTTATCTGATCAAAAAGATCAGGTTTCAAATTATGATGTGTTAACAGTTGGCCTTTGAATGGCACTGTCTGTGCCCCTTTATGTTTTATAGGTTATGTGACCTTCTCGTGACGCATGCAGCTTGTGTGGCATGCAGCTAAAATGGTCTCTGAGACAAGAACAAATGTTCAATGTCTAAACGCTTCTTCACTTGTTGAAATACTACAAAGCGATCCAGATACGATCAATCCCACAAAGCCTGTGTAGATGGTCTTTAGTGTTGTCAGTGGCATCAGTTTAAGACACTTCTAAGATAATTCAAAATTCATTGGCAGGTGCATTTGACCTGCAGTTGACCTCCTTCTGACCTGCATTAAGCAAGTTTTGCATCTCCATAAACTTGTATGAGAATGCAAAACCTGTTTTGAAGCAAACAGAAGCTTGTTGACATAGTCCTTAGGGTCAGATGATTGCAGCAATACATTAGTTATAACTCCACCTGTGAATTCACCCTAACCACTTGCTGACTTGCTCACAGTAACTGTACTGCAAGTGGGCGGCAGCTACAGGCTCAGCAACGTACCTGTGATTCACCCACAGTATGTCAACCGTAAGCAAATTCTCATAAATGAAAAGCCATTCGTGACAGTTAAAACTATTGCTTATAAAAGTGATCATTGCTGTTCTAAACCATAAACGTGTTAAAAAACAAATCCCTTCCCCCCCCCCAGAGTAGTACAGTGTTACTATGGTGACACTGAACTACTGTTGAAAGCGTGTTTAAAAAAAAAAAGTTAGAATTTTTTTTTTTTAATGAATTATTTTTTTTAAACATACTGTCACCAGTCAGTATCCCTGATAACTGACACACGAGTCATATGTAAGTAAATTAAAAAAGTGAAAATAAGTATTTAACCGCCTCTCGCGTGCCATGTAAGGAAATGACGGGCGGACAACGGTTATCTCGTTCTGGGAGGACGTCATATGTAGTTCTACCACTCTTAACTGCGAGGGGCGCAGTGATCTGTTGTGCACTTTGTCCCTGGGACACAGCGGATCACCGATCAGAGTACAGAACCGATCACATTGGCTCTGTCGTGATCAGCTGTGTCCAGTCACAACTGATCACATGTAAATAGGAACTGCCGGTTATCGGCAGTCCTCTCCTCACGCTGACAGCACGTGAGAGCCTGTAATCGGCATTCCTCAGAGGGGACATCTACACTGATCAGTGTAGCCCTATCAGTGCCACCTATCAGTGCCCATCAATGCAACATATCTATGCACATTAATGCCACATCAGTGCCTACCAGTGCACAACAATGCCACATATCCAAACTGTCTTTCCATGTCGCCTATCAGTGCCAGTCAGTGCTGCCTTTCAGTGCCCACAAGTGATGCCTGTCAATGCCACCTATCAGTGCAGCCTATCAGTGCCCATCACTACAGCCTCATTAGTGGACACCAGTGAAGGAGAAACATAAACTCAGAAGAAACTTTTGTTTTTCAAAATTTTCAGTCTTTTTTAGTTTAGCAAAAAATATAAATCTCAGTGATGATTAAATATCAGCAAAAGAAAGCTCTATCTGTCTACAAAAAAAAAAAAAATAATAATTTAGTTTGGGTACAGTGTTGTCATTCAAAGTGTGACAGCATTGTAAGCTGAAAAATTGGCCTGGGCAGGAAGGGAAAAACATTTTCATTTTTTTATAAAGCAAAAAATAAACCCAGTAATGATTTAAATACCACCAAAAGAAAGCTATATTTGTGTGGAAAATATTGAATTCAATTTGGGTACAGTGTTGCATGACTGAGCAACTGCCAGTTAATATAGCACATTGCTGAATAGCAAATAAAATGCCTTGGTCATGAAGGGGTAAAACATTCTGGAGGTCAAGTGGTCTAAAGGGGAAAAAAAAAGGTTGGATTTCTGAACCTGTTTGTATTCTTCCTGCAGCAATGTCAGATATGATCTTTGGCCGTGTTTTATATTCAGCCTTGTCATTACATATTCAACTTTACTAGCAATCCATAAACCATACATGACCTTGTTTTCTTCCCAGGATAAAAACACGTCAGCTGCTGCAAATCCGCAGGACAAATGCAATTTAACGATTAGTTTAGGAGTAGCAACGAGAGACTGTAATACCAGGTTGTTGGTAAATTTGACATAACGCTATAGTATTGTGTGACCAAAACGGATCATCCTGCATCTGTGGTTGACCCTGTAAAAAAAAAAAAAACAAAATGTGCAGTTGTCTCCAAACTACGGCCCGGATGCGGCCCTTTGCTTGCCCTTATCTTGTCCTTGTGGCACTTTCTCCCACTGATACAAGACATTATTCCTCCCACTAACACCAGCAAGGGGGCATAATTCCTGCTGACATCAACAGTCACTATTCCTCTCACTGAAACAAACCATGGGGCCCTATTCCTCCCACTGACACCAACAACGGGGCACTATTCTTCCCACTGACACCAACGATGAGGCACTATTTCTCCAATTTACGCCAAGAATAGGGCTCTATTTCTTCCCTAATGCTAACGATGTATTGTTTACTTCCAATGATGCAGGACAATTTCTTCTCCCAATGGCCATAGCCCGGTCCCCCTAAAGTCTGAAAGCCAGTAAAGTGGCCCTTTGTTTAAAAACAGAGACCCTGCTCTTGTGTATATCTTTGCAGTCAAACCCCATTGTGTCCTGATTCACAGAGCATACTTAAAGATTGTTAAAAAAAAAATCTTTTTTTTTAGTTTCTTTAGAGTTGGTGTGATGTTTTGGACACTATAGGCTAGATTCTATTGCCTTGAATAGATGGCAATGTGCAGATAAAGGACAGCTAGAATTTTTTTTTCCCTGTGTATTAACATACAATGCAGAACCCAAATCTTGAAATCTTTCACCCTTTTGTTAGAACAGTAAATCTAGTTTGCAACTGATTGTGAACAGAAAGAGAGGATTTCTAAGAAATGGATGATGAAATCTCCCAACACAGCACAGGTAGGATAACTTCTCTTAACCACTTGCCTACAGGGCACTTATACCCCCTTCCTGCCCAGGCCAATTTTCAGCTTTCAGCGCTGTCACACTTTGAATGACAATTGTGCAGTCATGCAACGTTGTACCCATATGAAATTTCTATACTTTTTTTGAGACAGACATTTCTTTTGGTGGTATTTAATTACCTCTGGGTTTTTTAATTTTTGCTAAATAAACCAAAAAGAGAAATTTTGTGAAAAAAAAGTTTTTTTTTTTTCTTCGTTTCTGTTATAAAATTTTGTAAATAAGTGATTTTTCTCCTTCACTGATGTGCGCTAATGAGGCTGCAGTGATAGGCAGCACTGATGAAGTGGCACTGATGGGCATTGACAGGCATCACTGATGGGCACTGAAGGCAGCACTGATAGGTGACACTGATAGGCGTCACTGACTGGCATTTTTAGGTGGCACTGAAAGGCAGCTCAGATGGGCACTGATATGTGGCATTGATGTGCACTGTTAGGCACTGATATGTGGCACTGATGGGGCTACACTGATAATCAGGGCACACTGATCATAAGTGTACATGTCCCCTCTGAGTAATGCCAGTTATCGGCTCTCCTCTCCTCACAGCTCATGAGGAGAGGAATGCCTATAACCGTCATTTCCTTATTTACATGCGATCAGCTGTGATTGGACACAGCTGATCATGTGACAGAGCCGATGTCTTCAGCTCCTTCCGTTGATCGGTGATCTGCTGTGTCCCAGGGACACAGTGCACCACCGATTGGCACGCACGTGCGGTTAGAGTGGGAGGACGTCATATGATGTCCTTCCAGAACCGCCTTGCGCCTATCATTACCTTATATGGTGGGCAGGAGGCGGTTAAACATCACTTTTCTATTGTCCCCTCCTTACCATTACATAGGGATAGTTAAGATTTTTCAGTCAGAAAAAATTTGAAAGGTAAGTATTAATTTTAAAATATTTTTTAAAGTTGTGGCATGTGAGTAAGAACATGTACCAAATATAAAGTAGTTGTTACCCCAGTTTGACTGCAAAAAGTATAAATACACTTTACCTATCCCAGTGCCTGCTCCTAGAATCTTTTGCTCTGTTGCTAAGTAGAGCTATTCTGTAGTTTCTCCTGGTTGCCTTTACATCAATACAGGGCACCGTAATGAAGTCGGAACCAGTGGGCAGAACCACAGGGCACCACAAGGGAACTGGGCATCAGAGGCTCCCATAAGTGGGATGGATTTAATTAACACCCTTATGACTGGGTTGCTTTAAGAACTGCACAGGTGTAATGCACCAAAATGGGTTATAAGTATTACAAAGTCTCCCACTTAATAGTACTCTGTTGGGTAGCTGAGTTGTTACCCAGCAGTCTGTAGAAAGTGAGGTTGCTATGTTTTTGTTTTCCACATCCACAGCTTCTCTTTAGTCGCACATTAAATTATCACCTGATCGTGAAAAATTTTCCCAGGAGAAATGCTGCGTTGGAAAAGTTCTCCTGATCGCTAGCTTTCCTTACATAAGTGAACACTCGAGGTGTCTGGGCATGCTCCCAATTTTTACTGTGTAGGCATAAACATGCTCAGGCAATCTAACATACATGTTTATGCATCTATGTAAAAAATAAAAAAAAAAAACCCATTGTCTGCAAAATGTCCCATCGTTTTACATCTACGGTCAGCTTGCAACTGCTGTGGTGATGTCAGTTGTTGCATTTAATTAAATCACAGCTATCCGTCTTTGGACAGGAACTTGTTTTGGACTGGTAGGGGTCCAGTTCAGTCTTGTTCCCAACTGGCTAGGAATAATAACTGCAGTAATGAGCTTGTTGTTGTGTGCAGCGAGTCTGCCTACTTCCCCTTCACTCTCCTAGCACAGGAGGCCTGGGGCATGCTGACCAGCAGAGGATTAGAGCAGTTACTTATTAGGAATGTTATTACTGGTCATGCTTCTGATAGCTAGGCCTCCATGCTTTCACTGTGGGGCTCACACAGCAATTGCATGCAGTGGATCAGTTCATCAATGTCAAGATTTTGTTCCTGAGAGTTGTGAGCTCAAGGGTGTGTTACACAGACAGTATAGGTAGTAAATGGGATATTGCCAGCAATAAAAATATAAAAAGTTATGACATTTGATTGTCATTGTTATGCTTAAAACTGTACTGCACCAGCGTTTTCATTAGTTGCTATCAGTTTGCATCCACTGCAGACCGTATGGACCCATTCCGTAATCCCTAATAATGACAGAATCTGTGTTTCAGTTACAGTTTACTGAGTGTGGATCATTGTGATATTCTACATAATGTCATCTCCCACCCCTTCACAATTTGGTTCTATGATCTTGTGTTCTGTTCGCTATAATTTAATGTGATAGTTTTTGTGGTGAAAGACGTTTGATGCTGACCAAAGATAGCCTGGCTTTGTTTGGTCATTGTAGAATTTTGATGGCAATTAAGCACCATAATTTTAAGCAATATATGTGTATCTTGTTCTTTTAATCTGTTCTGCCATGTTTGCCTTGTGTACTTTTTAGTGGTTTAAGGCTTGGTTCTCACCTATGCTTTTTGCTTTTGATCTGTATTTTTAATTGCTTTTTGCGTTGTGCTTTGTGTTTTTTGCATGCGTGTTTTGCGGTTTTTCAGTTTTTTTTTTTTTTTTTTTGTTTTGTTGCTGGGCAGAAAAAAAAACACAACAAAAGCGCACTACCTGTGTTTCAGCAGCTTCTCCATTGAACTCTATTGTATCAAAAACGCTGTTTTTTTGTGCTTAAAGTCCCTGACCCATTCCAAAAAGCATAGATGTGGACATGTTCCATAGAAAACTATGTTAAATAGAGTGTAGTGCATTTCAGCAAAAAGCACTAAACACATTGGTGTGAACCAGGGGTTACATTAAACTTTTTTCTTTTACATTGCAAATGTGAAGCCCCTATTGGCTTAGGGAAAACTGTGTTGGGGTGCAGTGCTCTGTTGAATGGCTATATTTATGTTGTGTGTGACAATTTAAAAAAAAAAAAAGTAAAATGTCCTGTTGCCTGTGACAACCAGCTTGCATCTTATATATCTTTACAATGTAGGCTAAAATAAATGGTACAATGTAGTTTGAGGATCTTATTTTTGATTTTAGGTTAATTTTATTAGTGGGAAAAAAATTACTTGGCAGCGTAGAAAAAGGGAATAAATATCCATGAACTACTCAACTGTCAAGTACTGTTGTTGAAAAAAAAAAAAAATTTTTGCTATAACTGCAATAGTTTGTGGAGAGTCTCCTTTTTACTTTTTGAATTGCATTGTTTTGACCCTTCCATACTATATTTCACATGTGCTTCTTATGTTAGGAAATTGATTTGGAATCTCAGTGCATTGCCCATAGTGCTGAGTGGTCTCTGCACAGTTCTCTTCCACAGCACCTCATCTGCCAAGGCTGAACAATGAACCGCTACAATGT